CTTTAATCCTAACACTCAGGAGGCAGAGGCAGGTGGGGCGCTGTGAATTCAAGGCCAGCCTGGTCTACTGAACAAGTTCCAGGACAAGTAGGGATAGACAAAGAAACCCTGTGTTGAAAAAACAAACAAACAACATAAATCAATGCATTTGCCAAATACTTTGCTTGGCAGCACAGGCAGACAGATTTCAGTAGCTCGGAGAAAACTCTGTTGTGGTTGCTGATGCTAGCTGAAGGCTTAGCTTTGGGGTTGGTGGAAACAGTGGTCCATCAGAACACATGCCAAACCTTTCACCGAATAGTCAAAGGGTTACCAGGTGGGACACAGAAAAGACAGTGAGTGGCTACTAAGGAGACCGAAGATAGGCCAAGCTAATCTGGGTCTGCGTCTGCAATATTCCAACTGTCCACAATCAGAAAATTCTAATTAGCCGCCCAGCTTTGTGGAATCTTCCACATGAGCGTAGCCTTTTCTTCTGGGAACTATAGTTTGCTGTGAAATGACCATAACTGCACCTTTCCTTCGTTGCCATAGTATGAGAAATAGTTAATGCAGGTAAAATAGCAGGCCATTAATTCATATAAACAAATGTTTATTGGCTGCATGTACCAAGAAGCAGATAAAGTAGTAAATAAGGCAGACTGAAATGAAACACATGGTTCCCTTACGAATCTTGTTTTCAAATAAATAATGATGGGTATCTAGCTTAACAGTATGTTAAATGAAGTATCTATTTTTCTCTTGATAAATGTTGCGGTCCTAACCTAAACCATTTCTGTTATTGTTCTTGTAGGAAAGGAGCATGGCCCACAAGCATTTAGGATGAAAATATTTTGCCCATAATTATAGAGGCATTCCATCAGAGCCGAGACATTGAAAAAGACACCAGAAAGAAAACACAAATTTGAGAAAACGTTGACTGTTTGAACTTTGAATTATTTCATCACTTTTTTCTCTAGCACCTGATGGAAATCTTCCTAAGAAATTATACTTATAAACCTATTTGCTTAAGCCACCATAAGGTATGTGAGCAACAACTTGGGGGATGGAAACGTCATCATACATCCCCTGGTAGGGAACTCACCTAGCTTGCAGGAAGCCCTGGATGGGTTCAGTCCTCAGAACAAAACCAGTGTAAGCCCAGCTTCGGTGTGGTGGAGGTAGCATGAAACTTAGGAGTTCAAGGTCATTCTTAACGACTGGAGGCTGGGCTACATCAGACAATGCCTCAGAACCACCTTGGGGTTATCAATTTTTATCTTAGAAAATACTCAACCATCAGAGCTTTGGAATGTATTTTATTAAGTCATATGCCCCTAAAACCAATAGTCTTAGGGACTGTGTTAAAGGTAGGGTTGGAGGTAGTTCATCAAAAGGTGCAAATTACACCCTGATGATTTCTGATTCTGTTTATTAGAGCTGGGCCTGGTGGCACGTTGCTAGGCAACCTATACCCCTAGTCCAAGATGCCAGGGAATAACTGACAGTCTTCTTATTTCACAGGGTTACTTTGATGTAGAACCCAAGGAATGCCTTCCCCATATATTGTCCTTATTTTAGCCAAAACAACTGGTTCCATGTGAAAGACCCCCAGTGCTGGGGAGACTCTCATCAAGTCTTGGGAAAACACAACTCTCCCCCCCCCCCCGCCCCCAGTAACTCAGGAGAGACTGTCCTTGCTGCAGTCACACGAGGCTTTAATGATGAGATGAGACTCATAACCCACGCAGGGGAAGAGTTCGACTCCGAGTGACCTGAAGAAGGGGTTTTTATAGGAAGAAACCACAGCCAAAAGGGGCAGGGAGGGTGTCACAGAAAATCACAAGGGGGCAACTCCCTGCCTCTCAAGATCACTCAAGGTCATAATCAGATAGTTCCGAAAACACAGTATTCCAAAAACACCAATGGTAATCACAAGGGGGAAACTCCCTGTTTCTCCAGATTATTCTCAAGATTACAATCTAACTTTAATCTTCAGCTAGTTCCTGAAACACAGTCACTGAACTGGCTAAATCCTGGATTTCTGATTCTTCTCTTCCTGCTTAAATTTTTGGCTATTTTCTTCCTACTGGGGGGGGGGGGTTCTGGATTTATCCAGGTCTTTCACATGCCTTCCTAGCAGTGAGCACTACAATGGATGTGATGTCAATATGAACATCTTAAAGTACTACAGAGGGTAAACTAATTGCATGCTTTGAAAGTATTATCCACTGGCCATATGGCGAACCTTTTGTCATATTATTTATAGTTGCACTTGACTACAGGTCCCCGAGGCGCTGGAGCATTTGAACCCCTCACCTGCCTTGGCCAGCCTGTTTTTGTGACATGGAAGCACAGATTTAATACTATGTGTTAAAAGCATTTTTTTTCTTTTTTTTGTTTTTCGAGACAGGGTTTTGCTGTAGTTTTAGAGCCTGTCCTGGAACTAGCTCTTGTAGACCAGGCTGGTCTCGAACTCCCAGAGATCCACCTGCCTCTGTCTCCTGAGTGCTGGGATTAAAGGAAGCACTTTATTAAGAAAAAAAGAAAGTTTAATCCCTTACAAAGTATGACAATTAGGTTCCATTACCTGTCATTGATTTATCCTAATACCTCAGTGTTCATTCCTCTTACCTGCATATTTTCTTCAAAGATATAGCTGTGTTGATGTCTTTGGCTTCCCATTGAGTATATACTACTGAATAAATGTAGGAGTTTTATGTTTACCGTATGAGTCTTGAAACACTACAGATATTTTGAGTATCAATCATGACGGCAATTTCTATATAAAAGAGCCTTAAATGGAACATTGTTTGGAGATCAAACTCCCTACCCTCACAAAAGTGGCCACTTCGCAATAAAAACTGTGGCATATTACCAAAAAGAAGAAGCCGGGGAAGCGGCCACTTTCCTTCCATGAACCTGTAGAGTTGGTTTTGTTTTGTTCTCAGCTGGTAATAGGTAAGGAATATCTTCAGTGATGACATTATATTCACCCTCCCAGTATTCGGGCCGGAAGTCCGCCCTCAGGTAGCATTCAGATTAGGTGAGCTACTCCCACCACCAGAACTCGAGCAAAACTCCAGCCAGGGAAGCCCCGCCCACTCTGGGAGTCCAGCTAGCTCCGCCTCCCGGAAGCTCCCGCCATCGTTGAGGCCGACGCGGGCTACGCAACTTCCGGCTGCCGGCCAGCAGCTCCTCGGCGATTGGCCCACGGCCACGCCATTGATGTGACGCGCTGTCCCGGACCTGTGTACCCACGTGTGGCGCGGCCGGGAGACACCGGTGAGCGGCGGATCGGCTTTCGCGGTTCCGGAGAAGGAGTCCCTGCTCAGTCATGGTGAGAAAGCCGCGGGGATCCCGGCGGGAGCCGGCCGGCGGCTTCCGGTTACGTCCGTGTTTGCAGTGCGGCGGTACGGCTCGGTGTCCCGAGACCGGTCACCTTCGTCACCCTGGGTGCACTTTTTAAAGGAGACGAGATGCCCTCCCTTTTGGCAAAACCCCGGGAGTTTACAATTCTGACGGCTTAGTTGAACTCAGTCTCTGTGAGTTACTTACAGAAGCTCCGCCCCCTGCTTCCGGGTTTCTCGTAGGTCACTTGGTTGGCCCCTGGGTATGAAGACAGTGTTAAAAAGTAAATCAGAATGTATCGAGGAGTAAAGAGTTTAAACATTACTTGTCTGTGCCCTGGTTTTATTTCCTAGTTAGTAGATGAAATGTCTGTCTCCTGTACATTTTCTTATGGCACGCCCCTTGTCTTGTTGGTTCAACTTTTCGGGGACCTTCCCTGAGCACCTATTATAAAGGACTTAAGGCGTTTGCACTTCACCAGGCTTGTTTTTTCCTCACTAAGGTCATTACCTTGTTGATGTACTTGCTAAGAACGGAGAGTTTCCGACTGTCCCACTCCCATAACCCCAGGTGTCTAACAGAGTAGGTGCTCAACCAGTGTTGGCTAGAGAAGGTTAAGTATGGTTTCCTCAGAACACCGAGACTGTTGCCTTAGATATGCAGACTTAGGAAATCTGTTCACTCTCTACATTCTTACTGCAGGAAACTGTGGTTGTGGGGTCGTTCTCTGGGTGGGGATTCTGTTTCATGTCCTTTCCTGATTTTATTGCAGCCTCACAGAAAGAAGAAGCCCTTTATAGAGAAGAAGAAAGCTGTCTCTTTCCACTTGGTCCACAGGAGCCAGCGAGATCCTTTAGCAGCAGATGAGACTGCGCCCCAGAGGGTCCTGTTGCCCACCCAGAAGGTAGGTCTGGCCCTGTAGCCACTAAGTGTTTAGGTGAATGGTAGTTTTGTAGTCTTGATGATGGAACCCAAGGGCTATATGCATGCCCAGCAAGCACTCTACCCCAACTATAACCTCAGTCCCTATGAGGTTTTAATAATCAGCTGGCATTCTCAGAATTTGGTCCTCCAAGAAATGAACTGTGGCTCAGTTTCCATTCTGTGTGCTGATGTTTGAAATCGTGTATTTATTTTGATTAAGAGGATAAAACATCTTTGAGATTATTAAATAAAGACATCTCAAAGACTATTAGTAAAGTTCAATAGACCACAGCCTACAGTGCTGTGCCGTATTATTTAGGGTAGGACCATATGTTCAGTCTCGGCTTTCTCTTGGGATTCTGCCGTGTTTCAATAGTCTTCAGTTTGCATTTTTGCTTCCGGGTCGCTCTCATCTCTTGAAGTACAAAACATCTGAGCTCACGAATTAGCTTTGGAAGTCCAAGGGAAGCCTTGAAAAGGATGGCTTATGCTAGCGTACTCTTGTTGAAGATGGATAATGTAAAAATATTGAAGGATGCTGGAGACATGGTCCAGTGCTTAAGTGCACGCACTGCTCTTGCAGAGGACCCAGGTTCAGATCCCAGCACCCACATGAAGACTCAGAGCCATCTTCAACAACCCTTCCAGGAGCTTTCTTCTGTCCTCTGAGTGTACCAGGCATATGTACACATGTCGTCGAAACATTCATTTTTGAGGGTGTGTCACATATATTTCTCACCTGGAATTTACACAATGTCTAGTTGAAGGAACTGTTTTCATTCTCGCCTTGCCTGGGGACCCGTGTTTTACTTCATCCTTTGAGCCAGGTCGTGCTGTAGTGTTCAGCCTTCTCTTGCACTCGTGCGGTCAAATGATCTGCCTCTGCCCGACTTGTTTTCAGTCCGTTTTTTGAATTTGATGTAGCACTTTGGTTTGGATGCTGTGTAGGTTTGGTATTTGTCAAGAATTAGTTGTGTGAGCTGGGCAGTGGTGTGACACGCGCCTTTAATCCTAGCACTTAGGAGGCAGAGGCAGGCTAATCTCAGTGAGTTGGAGGCCAGCCTGGTCTACAGATCAAGTTCCAGGACAGCCAGGTCTGTTTTGCAGAGAAACCCTGTTTTGAAAAATCAAAAAAATAAAAGGAAAAAAAAAGAATTGTGTGATTTCCTGCCAGCCAGTGTTTGTGCGCTGTTTCCCTCCTGGAAGTCTGTTCTTTGTAAGGATTCTGCCTGGGTTCCTGACAGGAAAGCTAATTCCCTCTTGTTATCCAAGGTAAACGATGAAGAAAGGCGAGCAGAGCAGAGGAAGTATGGAGTCTTCTTCGATGATGACTATGACTACCTGCAACACCTGAAGGAGCCAACTGGGCCCGCAGAGCTTATTCCCAGCACCACATCCTTCAGACTGTACAACAGTAATGAGAGAGAAGAAACCCCAGCATGTTCAGTATGTAGAGATTCCATATTGCAGAATAGTACATGGCAGCCTAGAAAGAAATGGCTTAGGTGCCACTGACTTTGCTTTGTAAACATGGGGTTTAAAGCGCTTTAACTTTGAGTGTGTCAGGATTGAGTACAGCCTAGGAGCAGAATGCTTGATCTTAGTTGATTGTCACATGGCAACGGAGTTGGGAGTTACTACAACTTTTAAACATAACCTCCGTAAAAAGGAAAGTGACCAGTATTGGAACTGTCATTTATTTGATTCTGTGACTACTTTTTTAAGACTTGGAACAAACGTGTAGGTAAATTTAGTAAATCCCTCTTCAGTCCCAAAAATTTAAGAGGAATCACTGTAACCTTTAAAAAGACTAAGAAATTTATTAGTTGTTTTAACTATATTTTTCTTTTAAATAATTTTATTGTTGTTGATTAGGACAAGATATTGAATACTCTGTTCATAGTAACAGAAAAGCCCAATTCAGACTTGTTTTAAAAATAACAAATGGTTAGTGTGGTGCCGCATGCCTGCAGTCCCAGCATCCAGAAGTGAGAGGCAAGAGGTTCTTGAGGGCCAGTCTGGTCTACACACTGGGCTCCTAGCCAGCAAGGCTATATAATGAGTCCTTGCTTTAAGTAGATATGTAGTCTGTGTCAGTGGTAAGAGCTGTTCATGTGTTTATCCTGTGTCATCCTGAGCCAGGTTCTAGTATCATTTCTAAACACAGTAGTCTACAGAAATTATGAAATCTGTGAGAAACTCCCCAAAATGGCATGTTTTTGTCTCAGGTTGTTTGTTTTAGCTTTTTTTCCCCCAAATATTTCAAATCATTGAGTGTAGTACTACCCAGGAAGAACATGTCAACCAGGAGAAGACTTAACACTGGTGTTTTGGATCATAGTGACAGGCTTATTCATGCTCACTAAATTGAATTGAATTATTATATCATAGGAGCTAGGCTTGATTCTTGTGGTCTCTTGCCAAGTAACAGACATTTAGATACCTTGAGTAGGCCTCAAATAGGTCTTGAGCAAGCCTCGAGTTGGCCTGGATCTTATTGAGCCTTGAAAAATCAGGACCTATTATAAAAGTGCAGGAAAGTCACAGTTGGAGAGAAGGGAGGTTAAATTAGGCGGGGTGCAGTGGCACACCCCTTTAATAATCTTAGTACTCAGGAACCAGAGGGAGGGATCTCGGAGTTCAAGGCCAATTCTGGTCTATGCGTCACTCATCTCACTCTTCTAAGCTCGCCAGTAGTCTGTCTTCGGAGTTCTTTGACCTGTGGGTGCCCCACTCCAGTCTGCCCTCTTCTCCACATCCCAGTCACCCCTTTATGTGAGGGCAAGCCGACCACTGAACTCATGTTCAAGACCAAGGGAAGATAGACGGTTGTGGCCTTCTTGCTGACAGCAGACACTGTGTGAGAGACCTAGCCCACTGACCTTCAGAGCAGACCACTCTCAGCCTGTTACTCCTTAGTCACCACATGAATGACCGGATCCATTCATGAGGACCATGAGGACCGATTGCTGATCAACTGTTAAGGTCCCTAGGGTCTCAACCGTAATGTTTCAGAGTAATGAGCAAGTTGCATTGTTTCCTAGGGAATAAACCACAGAAATCTTATTTCAGGTGTGGTCACAGCCCGAGACTGAGTGGCTGTGAATTTGGGAAGGATGCTTTTCAGCCCAGTACAGTGGCTGAGCAGTGTTTTCTTAGGAAGCCTCACAGCTGTGTAATTTCTTTTTTAAGAGCACTGGAATTAAGTTGCCTTCATCAGTGTTTGCATCTGAGTTTGAGGAAGATGTCGGATTGTTAAACAAAGCAGCTCCAGTTTCAGGTGAGTTTAACTTTTTTAAAAACATTTATCTTGTTATTGGAAAACTTCATACATGAGTACCGTATTTACATAGCTCCCCCCACCCCGCACACTTTCCCCTGCACCCCCCATTCCACTCTCTAAGCTTCATGACTGCTTTAATTCTGTGTCTGTGCAACTATAGCCTTCTGAGTCCATCTTGTCATGTGTGTGTTTAGGAGTGACTGTTTAGGATTGGGTAACCTATTGAAGGTTGTCCCTGGAGAAGACCAGTTCTCTTCTCTTGGTAGCTAGGGATGGGGGGGGGGGGGGTCTCATGAATTTCCTCTGTCCACCTATCTGCATTGGAATGTTGACTGGTGTTCTCTTTGTCTTGTTGAGGTCTTGTTTGGGTGGCAATATGGCTAAGATTCCCTGCGTGCAACTCCTATCGTATAGAAGATACTTGTCTTGGAGCAGACATCTTAGACCTGTGGCTCTTAAAGTTGTTCCACTTCCTTTCTTGAGCCTTGGGTGAGGGATTGCGTGGCTGATCTCCCAGTTGGGTCCGGCCACCCCACAGTCACTTGTCTCCATTTTGACCAGCTATGGCTTTCTGTTGGTCTCTCGTCTCCTGCAATGAGGCTTCATTGATGAGGGGTGGGAGCTGCATGTATCTGTGGATATAAGAATGGGTGTTTACAGTGCAGTTGGGAATTACACTGGTTGAGGAACGTGGCAGTAGTAGGTTCTAGAGTCTGTGACCTCAGCAGTCATAGTTACAATACCAGACATGAGCTGTTGGTCTCCTTTTAAAGTGGGTCTTAAGTCTAATTGGGTGGCTATTGGTTACCCCCAAAATACAAGTACCACTACTGCATCCTTGGTTATAGCTTGCTGTGCTGGTCATTGTGCTTGTGGTTCATTGTGGCTCAGCCACTAAAGGCCGAGACTTACAGCCAAAAGGAAAGAATTTAACTTTTTTAAGTTTTCATTTGAGTACATTTGTGTTTTGCAAAAAGAAATATAAAGGTATAGGATTTTTCCATCCACAGTAAAGAGTTTATAAACAATCGAGATTAATGTAGAATTTGGATAATAGAACATGAAGAGGGAGTATGGCCAGCAGCATTTTGTATGATGCAACAAGTTCTTATGTCTTTATAGATACCATTTGAAAAAAAGTGTGGGAACCTTGTAAGGGAGGTTTAATGTTCATGTACTCTCTTATGAGATGACAGGGATGATCATTATTCCTTAAATTTTTGAACAGTACCAAATGAGTATTTGGAAGAAATCTATTGGAAGATTCACCCAAAATAAATTGAAGAAGTAACTTTTAAAGAAAATTTGCAGTACCACTGCTATAGTAGGCCAAAACAAAGGTCCACAGAGATAGTAGTTAGTATTTTTTCCTACGTTAACCAGTACTTGCCTTAGGACATTCTTTCACTGACTTAATCTTCCAAAGTGGTTGTTGTATAATAATAGTCTTAAGTTAAACCGAAATAAAACATAACCGGAGAGAATTTCTGTCTGTAGAAAAGATACTAAATGGGGTATTACCTTTGGGGCATAGAAGAGTAAATGCAAGGAGCACCATTGAGAAGCTTGGCAAAGCTTTCAAGAGAATAGCAAAGTTGATTTGTTGCTTTTGTGGTTGTTTATTCAGAAGGGTCCTGTGAACAGTGTCATCATTTGCTTTCTTAAGTAGAAGGCAGGTGGAAGGAGGGAGGAGAGAAGGCTGGGCAGAAAAGATATGCCAGGCCAGACAGGAAACTGACTCTACAAAGCCGAGCAAATGTAAACACCAGGAAGTGTATACAGTTTAGCATACCAGAGGGGCGTGAAAGGATGAATAAAAAATGGAACTGGAGAACAGGGAGGGGCAGCATAGCAAGCCCTGTTAGCAAAGCAGACCTTGTCAAAGATAGGTTCATGTTATTAAGTAAAATTATATAGCTGAAGAAACCAGCTGGGATTTATTAAAATTTTGTGGTTCAAATTTATGAAAGTATAAAAGTCACCAAATACTTGTTTTTTTTTTTTTAATAAATGAATTTGAAACCTGGATTTATTCTGCAGGTGAAAATTTAGGAGTTTTGCTAGAGTTTAATAAAAAAGATTGGTAATGGAAATGCTTTTACTAGTGGATATTGAAGAATGGATGTTTTCATTCTGTCTACCTAAACGTACTTAAAGTTTTTTAGTCTTTCATCTGAAGTGTATAAATAGATCAGATAGTATAAAATAAATATGTACCATGCTTTCTTAGTGCGGGGGGGGGGGGTGGAGGTGCAAGGGACCTGAGATTCCTGTTTTGTTTACTTTGCAGCAGTGGCCTATTGTAGTCCAGGCTGGGGTCAGACTCACCGAGAAGCTGAGGTAGACCTTGAACTCCTGAATGCTAGGGGTAAAGATAGGGGTTTTGCTCAGTTTTCTTTTCCTTTTAGGACCTCGCCTGGATTTGGATCCTGACATTGTTGCTGCTCTTGATGATGATTTTGACTTTGATGATCCAGATAACCTCCTTGAAGATGACTTTATTCTTAAGGCAAATAAGCCGACAGGAGAAGAAGGAATGGATCTGCCGTATGTGTGGTGGTTTTGTAGTGGGAGGATAACCATGGTCTAGTTTTGAGAACATGATCTAAGATATCTGTATTAGAGTGGGAAATAGTTAAATTTGAGACATACTATCTAAGTGGAGCTAAAACCCAAATTCCTGATGACTGGTTGCTTTCCTACTGTGCCAGATAATACCACCTCAAGGGCTGCTTCCTCTGAGCCCTGCAGAAGGAGCTTCTGGGTTTGTGTGAGGTTGCTGTGCTCTGATGGTTTTCCAGTTGTTAGGACGGGTGATTTATGGCCTGTTAACTGTAGGGAATCTGAGAGTGCGGATGACCATGAATGGGAAGACATGGACGATGAGGAAGGGAGCGGAGATGACTGTAGCTCTGCAGGCCTGCCGTCAGATGGAGGAGACAGATCTGCCCCCGGGTCACCTCGAGAAGCCATCAGAAACCACCTGTTTTGGGAAGAGGAAACCAAAAGCCGTTTCACGGAGTATTCTATGACCTCCTCGGTCATGAGGAGAAATGAGCAGCTGACTCTGCATGACGAGAGGTTTGAGAAGGTGCGGGCCCTGGGAAATGTCACTGAGTTCTGTCTTCCCCTGCAAAAAGAGAGATTGGAACCAGAGTAAACCTTTCAGGATTAGAAACCGCCTGTTGCATTAAGATTGATCAGAGCTGCACTCTGGTCAGGATTCTGGAAAGAGCTGTGTAGGTCCCAAGGGTTGACTGATAGAACATCTGACATCTCATTCTGATATTTGAAGTTCTGATTTTGCATCTCACCATATTCTGCAAACTTTTGCTGTTTTGCTAAGAGTTGGCTGGCTTAACATCAACAAAATTCAATTATTTTAGTTCTTCAGATATAACTAACAGTAAAAACAAAAAAGTAGAGTGTGACGTATACCAGATTTGACTCCTGGGACAGGCCAACTCCTGGTTTACAGTACTGTGGACCACCTACACAGAGTCTCTTCACCCATTCTATCCCATGCTCTTTCCCTTCTGACGCCATCTCTAATGTACTGATCTGTGTATATTATCCACAAGTTTGTGTCAGGTTAGGATAGGATTTCTCCATGGACAAAGAGTCTCAAGTGTACATCCAAGCCCTAAAGTAGTAGTGTCTGGCATGTAGTAGAACTTGAAGCTTTTTACTTAGTAGTCAGCAAGTGAAGAAATGCTTTCAGTGCATGGAATACACAGTTTTGCTACAATACCACAGAAGTGTTTCCCTCTTGCCTGTCAAGAGAAATCCACTGTTAAGTAACAACATCTTTGCTTATCAGATAGAGCACAACAGTGCTCACAGCATCTGAGCAAGAATGGAGTTTACACAGTAGATTCCCTCACAGCGTCTGCATCACTGAGAGAGATGCAATTTTCGCTGAAGTGTTCTAAAACAAAGATCTATGCATAGCATTTTATTTTCCTATCTGAGTTAAAAGCTTTTTATTATTTTATTTTTCTCTCTGCTGACACAGTAGTGATAGTTGTAAGCTTTTAGTACTGTTGAAATACTGTAAGGTTAATAGAAATACATAAAGAGTTCATTTAATTCATGACATATTTTTTCATGACACCTTTTTTGTTGTTTGTATTCAAGTTTTATGAACAATATGATGATGATGAAATTGGAGCTCTGGATAACGCAGAACTGGAAGGTTCCATTCAAGTGGACAGCAATCGGCTGCAGGAAGTTTTGAATGACTACTTTAAGGAGAAGGCGGAGAAGTATGGCAGCTCTTTAATTACAATCTTTTCCTACCTTCAGATGACTGATGGGGGAGTCAAAGTCTATCACTGATTGACTTGATGGTGGTGCAGTAGCTAAGGTTAAGGCGGGAAATAAAGTACAAAGAAACATTGGAGTTGGGAAATAAAAGCTGCTTCTGGCCTCAGGCTGAAGAATCTTTATAACTTAGAAGTGCCTAGTTTCTTGTTTCTGAAGTGGTGGGTGTTCTGAAAAGTGAGTAGTTCTGGCTAATAGATAAGCTTGACCTCGGCTGATTAGCAGAGCTCACAAGTGAAGTATTTGCTCAGTCAGCGTCTATATCAAAGTGCCTCTTATCTCAGAGAAGCTGATGATGTATTAAAATCTGCTCACAGGTCTTGTTCCATGAAACACTGCAGCATGCAGTTCCCACAGCATGAAAGGGGCCATAGGCTTTAAGTGAATTCTGTGCATACTTGGGAGAGATAGATGAGCAGCTGGTGCTCATCTTAGGGAATCTGCCATCTTGTGTAATGTAGAACCTTCTGCAGATGCAGCTAGATTTGATGTGCCTATCAGCAGAGCGAGTGTGCAAAGCCTCTGGAAGGGTAGAGCGGGAATGTTCCAGGAGCTTGGCAGGCACAGGAATAGGATTTAAAATGGCTCTTGTCTCTGGAGCTCTTTGAGTGACATGCAATTTAATGTTTTCTTTATCCTGTTTTCATTTTATAAAATGCACAAAAAAAAGTTGTGTAAAATTGAATACTCTTGAGCCTTTTGAGGATCAAGATCTGCCAACGAATGAGCTCGATGAGTCTGAAAATGAAGAGATGATCACCGTAGTTGTTCAGGAAAAGAAAGAGAAGTGGGATTGTGAGTCCATTTGCAGTAAGTATCTTATTGCCCCGCCAGCTGCCAAAGGTATGAAAACCATTCAGTGTGAATGTGGGAAACAGATAGAATTTAGTAGAAGTTAAACTTTTAGGGAATTTGTGAAAATGCCTTAAAAAGAATATGACTGCTTTGGACTTCCCACAGGGCAGGGAACCCTGACTGCTGTTTGGACTGGAGACGGAGGGGGAGAGGAGTGGGGGGAGGGGGGAGGGAAGTGGGAGGCGGGGAGGAGGTGGAAATTTTTAATAATAAATAAATAAATAAAATGGGAAAAAAAGAATATGACTGTTCTGCTATTGAGTTGTAAATAATTTCAGAATGGTTTTCAGAGAGGCTCTAGTGTGATTTTGCATTATAAAAACACCGAGACTAGGAACGTAGTGTGAACTGGGTGAACTTACAGTGTGCTTAGGTGTCACGTGATCTTTTTCCAGGTTTATACTCCAATTTGTACAACCATCCACAGCTCATCAAATATGAACCAAAGGTAAGGCTGACATTGTTAGTGTACCATTTTCAGGGCTGGAATGGTAGCACAACAGTTGAGATCACTACCTGCTCCTTCAGAGGACCCAGCTGGGTTCATAGCAGACACATCAGGTGGGAACTCCAGCTCCAAAGGATCTGATGCCTCTTCTGGCCCCTGAAGGCCGCCATACATATGGGCCACACTCAAACACATACACACTTGCAAATAGAGGTTGGTCTTCAGTGCCCTTTCTCACAGTAACCCTTTCTGGCTGCGTGGCTGGTAGGAGAGCACCAACAGTGCACCGCTAGTGAGCACTTGTGAGTAGGATGGGGAATAACTAGTGCTGCTTTCTCTCCGGCTCAGCCCAGACAGATCCACCTGTCTTCGAAAACGGGCATACCTCTCAATGTCTTACCTAAGAAGGGCCTGACGGCGAAGCAGCTGGAACGAATGCAGATGATCAACAACAGTGACCTCCCCAAGGTGTCAACCCAGCCTCGGCCCAAAAATGAAAGCAAAGAAGATAAAAGAGCCAGAAAGCAGGCCATAAAAGAGGAACGGAAGGTAACTGCGCCCTCTGATGTGGGGCTTGCGAAGAGCTGCTGGGGGGAACAGGGTCCGTCTGTACAAATGTAACCTGGGATCCTCTTGTACAGGAACGAAGAACTGAAAAGAAAGCTAACAAACTCGCATTCAAACTGGAGAAAAGAAGGCAAGAGAAGGAGCTGCTGAACCTGAAGAACATTGAGGGTCTGAAGCTGTAGGTGGGAAGAGTCAGTGTGAGTTGTCTTCCTCTTTCAGTGGTCTTCACTCTGCTCCGTAATTAACCAGGGTCTTAAGGGAGGTAAACATGGCCCTGTCATTTTTATATGCAAATAGCTGAGAAAAGAATATTTGTATTGTTATACAAATGAGGTTCTCTTGTCAGCTACCTTGTAAATATGATGTTTTGAGTTTACTATTATAAGCTTATATTCCCTCTGAGATAAATGACTTCATGGAAGTGAAATGTTTGGATAAATTAAAGGGAATGTCTTTATAACGTGCACGGACTCGGTGTGCTCATTTGTTTGTATGGTTGTCAACGTTGTCCTTTGCAGATGTTCTCAAATATTTCTTTGAAACCTCTCCACGCCTTCTCGGGAATTACATGGTTTAATTTGCCGTCTGTAGAGGAGGGGTCTGGTTAAGCTCAGTTTTGAAATGCTGAGTTTATTCTCAGTGGTGAGAAGACTGTTCCTGAGAAGATTCCACGGGTAAGAGCTGATTTTCCCGTGTCCACAAAACGACCCTTTCAAAAGGACTGTGACGATGAGCACCGCAGTTGTGGTTGGCATTTCCTGCCCTGGAACCAGATGGCTCTTTCCCTCTGGGATTTAGGACCAGCATAGCTGGAGTGATCAGAAATACTTACTTCACTGTAACCTAGAAAGTTTGTCTTCCCAACATTGTTTAATGTTTGGAACCATCCACAGCTTATTAAAATACATACTCAGAAGTTTCCAGGGTTTGATGAGTTGTTCTTGTTTTGACAACTAGAGACTGATTCAAGGCTTAGGCAATGACTCCATCATAATGTTCATTATTTGGTAAACTGTGACTTCTCACTGACCTTTGCCCATTTGCCCCTGATCGATGTGGACACTTGGTCAGAGTGGAGGACAAAATGGCTGAGGCACAGCCAGCTGTGGCAGGTGAGCTGCGCTTGATGGCTAGGTTTTTTACAAGTCACGTCACCTGGTAGTTAAGTCTTTTCCGAAGCTGATAGGTATCACCTTATTCTAAGTTTTATTAATTAAAATCTTAATTATTATATTTCTTTTAGAGTTGTGAAAAACTTTACAATTCTATTCTGTTAACACCTAACCAAAAGTAAAAATAAAAGTGTGCACAATTTGTCATTGAGGAAGTACACCACACTGAGCGTGTGCTGAAATGCCAACCTGCAAAAGCAGAGGTAGTTGGTGTTTTATATGAATACTGGGAATAAAAATCCTAAGTGGATGGGCATTTTCTCTTGTTGACCATTTCCAAAGAAGAGTCTCCAAACCTTGAAGAGTCTTGGGCACAGGATGTACTGAGCCCTGCTGGTTCTATTCCAATTAATCTCTTGTAAATAAGGGAATGCAACTCAGCTGTAAGTCTTGAGACGCTTGTTGCTGTGGGACTGATTAATTTAGCTTAAAGACTGTAATTCTGTTCTGGAGAAGACTTTAGGGGCGACTTGAATGAATTGCTAGAACTTGTTAGCAAATTTTTCCTACACACACCAGACCTAAAAGCCAACCCCCTCCCCGCACATACACACAAACACATGCCGAAATATTCAGTTTTCAGTCTTCTGTAAACAGTGATGAAAACCGAGCACATGAGCTCCATGCTGAACAACAGCAGTCCAGAGATAAGGGGGATTTTGCCTTCAAGAACTACTTGGTTGGAGACAGGAGGCACAGATAAGTGCCGATGCCATCACTGTGACAAGCACCACTTGTTACGAGGAGCTGGGTACTCACTGTTCCCCTGAAGTCTTCAGATAAGCCTGCAAGGTTGCTCAGTTGTCACCTATGATTTTCATTAAGGAGCACGCCCTCCTCCCGGCACTTCCTCTTCCCTGCCTTGTGCTCTCTGTAGCAACGTACAAGGCTGCTTCTCGGGATCCTTTCTGACTAGAGGAAAGTTGGAGGGCAGAACATTTTGCTTACCACTTTACCTGCTGGCCAAGCTAGTGCCTGGAATTGGGTGAACAGTGTTCGGTGGCATAGGTATGGATGGGTTCAGGGTAAAAGAATGACTTAGTGATAGGTTCATTCACAGGGGTCACAAGTAGGCAGGGAGAATTTTTTGTTGTTGTTGTATGTGTAGATGCACCCACCACAGTGCACATGGCAGTCAAAGGGCGGCTGTGTGGAGCTGGGTTTTTATGTGGGTTCCGGACTTGAACTCCAGTCGATGGCCCTGCCTACTGAGCTTTAGTCTTGTTTGAGCATTGTCCGGAATTGGTTTCAAAGCTTTCTTGTTAGGTACTTTGTTCGTATTAAAAGCCTGAGTGTCTTCATTGCTGGCGCCATTTGTGCATGCTGTCTTGGTGCACTGTAGAGAGATGTAGCCTCTACAGCCTGCACTGTGACATCACATCACCTTGATGGAGAGCAGCCCCGACCCCTGACCGTGTTGTTTTTACGTGTTGACGATGGCTTGCTTTAACATGCCTGTTTGATCTAGTTAGAAAGCAGAAAATAAGGAGTCCAGTGCTTTGTAAGTTAGTTGTGAGTTAGTAAGTTAGTTATGGTAAAATATGTAATATGCAAACACATACCTGTTGTGCAAATAAGAAATAGAACATAGAGCCAGGCAGTGGTGGCACACGCCAGTAATCCCAGCCCTTGGGAGGCAGAGGCAGGTGGATCTCAGTGAGTTCGAGGCCAGCCTGGTCTACACAAGTTCCAGGCAGCCTGGTTGTTGTCTCCCTATTTGTTTATTAACTACCCAGTTAGTTACACTAAGCATTACCCCCCCATTTTTTCTTTTTGTTTTTTTTTTTTTTGGTTTTCAAGACAGGGTTTCTCTGTGGCTTTGGAGCCTGTCCTGGAACTAGCACTGTAGACCAGGCTGGTCTCGAACTCACAGAGATCCGCCTACCTCTGCCTCCCAAGTGCTGGGATTAAAGGCATGTGCCACCATCGCCCGGCCCCCCTTTTCTTTAAAACCACTTATTAGATACCCTTTAACACAGCTTCCTTATCTTTGAGCCAACTAGGAGCACAAGCCTACCTCTGAAGGGAACATTTGCAACTCGTAGTTGGTGTCTTAGCGTTGACCTAAAGAAACCCTAGGTCCGACTTTAGCTTCTAGAGTGTGTGCACCTGTGTGCATGTGTCAGCGAGCAAGGTGCTGAGTGAATCCTGGATGCCTGTGGGCGTGTGAGCAGTCATGCTCACAAGCTGCACGACTGGCTGGTGTTTCTGTGTCTGAGCTCCACAGGACCTACTCCATCTCAGTGACCGGAGTTCAGTTCCCAGAACCCACATAAAGCTCCACAAAGTCGTCTTTGACTGCCACATGCACTGTGGCAGGGTGCATCTCCACATACAATAACAAAAACAAAAAAAAATTCTTGATGTCTATCATTCCTACAGCTCGAGAATCTAAAGTCTAATTTCTATCTCTGTCATTTTGACTTTGGAGGATATTTTGCAAATGGAGTCGTAGAATTTGTAGTAATTTGGCTTTATTTCACTCAGCATTGAAATCCTTTTAGGCTGTCGCATGGCTCAGTAGTATATTCCTTTTTATTGCTGTGCAGTGCTCCATGGGTACTCCACAGTTCATTTAGCCTTTTACCCATTGACGGGCATGTTGCTTGTTTCAAAGTGTTCTTTTAAGGTGGTAGCAATCAAATCTTCTGTTTGAATCAGTTCAGAGTGTGACAGTATAGACCTTCAACTTAATGTGTGGTCCAGCTATTGAGACAGACAATCTCCTCATTTCTTATAGACAAGCTTCCAACTTGAATGTTTTTTGTAATGGAGTGGTCCATCCATAGCCACGTTTTTAATTGGGTCATACCTATTATTTTAAAGTCCTTGAACTCATTAAAACGCACTGATTTAAACTAAAGATTATTGGTCTTCGGGGGTTTCCAGGTCCTTCATAGATCAACGGGAACATCATAAACCTGTAGTTGAATTTTTGTCTTAATCTTTGGAGAGACAGAGACTTGGGTCCAAATCTCAGGGTTACCCCTTGCAGTTTTTGGACTGAGTGAAATCACTTAACTTTTTCTCAACAGAGAATAAAAAAATAGCACCAGCTGGGTCTTACAAGTTTGCTATGAAGAGCCTGTGAAATAACCTAGGAATGGAGAGAACCAAATAAAAATGACTATATGACTATAACATGAATAAAAACATTGCCTTCAGTAATGTTGGGGGAAAATGAGTCTTAGAATCAATTATTTCTTTTAACAAGTCTGTTGCGAGGGTGCAGGGAGGGGGGTAACTTTACTGAAAACATTGCTTTTAAGACCCAGTGTTGCAGACAGGATGGGGAGTATTTCCGTAGGCCGAGGTGGATGACCTGTGCAGAGAACACAATACCAATTAGCAGACCTGTGAAGAAACTGTTTAAATCAACAACGTCTGTGCAACCTGCCATCTGCTTCCCGTTCAGCAGACTCCCCTTTTTCACATGGCTCCCCCGTCGGTTTCCGTGGCCCTGCTCTCTGCTTCTCCTGGCTTATCACCATCATTTTCTTGGCCTTGAGTGGAAGTTTCCCTACGGATCCTCTCTCCACCGCTTTTTCCACGACTTCTTCCCTGGCAGTGTCTCGCTCTACCTCATTCCTGGGAACCTACATCTGAGTCCCTCACCCTGACCCCTCCCTCATTTCCATCCCGCTGGCTGCACAACTCGGTTGAACTCAGTATTTCCAAGACTGGGGTCATTTTTCTTCCTAAGATGGATTCTTTTTTTCAACTCCCTCTTTCTAGCCACAGACCCGCTGTCTTCTCAGGCTTCCTGCCTGTAAACTTAGCACTGTCCCCAAGCAGTCATCATTGTGACCTCCCCACCCTCACCCCTAAAACTAGTCCTGGTGGAGATGCTTCAGTATCTTTTTTCCTTCCTCTCTTGTTTACGTCTCCACCCCAGTTTTTATTTTTATTTTTTTATTTTTTTAAAGATTTATTTATTTATTAAGCATACAGTGTAATGCTGGCAAGGAAGGCACCAGGTCTCATTACATTACAGATGGCTGTGAGCCACCATGTGGTTGCTGGGAATTGAACTTGGGACCTCTGGAAGAGCAGTGAGTGCTCCTACCCTCTGAGCCATCTCTCCAGCCCTCCACCCCAGTTTTTAAATTAACATACCCCTGTCCATCTTCAGGTGTAAGTTCTCCACAGTTCTCTGTAGGTTCCCTGCAGACGGCAGTGTTCCAAGATGTCCCTCTTTGTGGAGTAAAAGACATATTTCTATTACAGTAAAAAAACACCTATGCTTAGACCTGAAACTTTATAAAAAAAAAAAAAAGGGAAAAAAAAACTTTGTCCTCAAATTCAAACAAAAAAGGTACTAAAAAGTGAACTTTTCAGTCCACAATATTTTGCTTTTTAAAGCAATTAATCTTAGAAATGTATCTTTCTATTTTCTGCTGAACCTGCTTATGGGTTCCTTTCAGTATATTTAATAATTTCTTGCAAGATTTGTTAGTCTTGTGGTAGAAACACGAGTTTTGTTTGACGTTTTCAAGCAGTACTGAATTTTCGGCTTGTTTCTAAGTGCGTGTGTGCACATGCATGTGGTAGAGAGGCCAAAGGTTGATGTCATGTGTCTTTCTTTTTTCTTTTCCTTTCCTTTTCTTTTTCTTTTTTTTTAAATTTTATTATTATTATTTTTTCGAGACATGGTTTCTCTGTATCTATGGAGCCTGTCCTGGAACTAGCTCTTGTAGACCAGGCTGACCTTGAACTCACAGAAATTTGCCTGCCTCTACCTCCCAAGTGCTGGGATCAAAGGTGTGCACCACCACCGCCAGCTTCACGTGTCTTTCTTAATTGTTCTCCATTTTATTTTTGAGATAGGGTCTCTCCCATGAACCTGTGTCTCGCTGATTGTCTAAACTGGCTAGTCAGTGAGACCCCAGGATCTGCCCATCTAACTCCCCTCCAGAGCTGTGAGTTACAGATTGAGGCCACCATGCTAGCTTTCATTTAGGTCCTGTAGATCCACAATCAGGCACTCATGTTTGCATGGCAAGGGCCTTACCCATTGAGCCACCCCTCCACTTTCCTTTGTCTAGGGAAGGCAGGGACCAGTTTTCCTTGAGATATCCATGACAGTCTATCTTCAGCCTAAGCAGAATCCCAAAGATGTCACTATCAGATAATTTGTGACTTTTTGCTGATAGGTTACCTCTGTTCTGATGTCTGATGCACAGCTCTCAGCACCCCATTCCCCCGACCAAAGCAAATGATTGCACTGTTTGCCTCACGTTTGTGCAATTGACTCGTTCGGTGAGGTGAGAAGTTTATAGTAGGAAAGAAACACTTGGGGGATGGCGCAGGCTCTTCCGTGGAGGAGGAAGCAGGTGGTGGGTGGGACAACTGTGGAGCCCACAGGCGCCCGAGGTCACCTGCAGTCCCTCGTCTTTCCTCAGCCAGGCAAGTCCACGAAACTTAACACAATGTGCTCTCGAATCTCACGCAGATGGCAATCAGAAGCTGTTTCCCTGTGAAGTCTGTGGGAGACGCTTTGCAGCAGATGTCCTGGTAAACATAAAGACGTTTTCTAGATGTGTTTCATTGGAGTCAAATGAACTGTCAAGTCAGGGAGGAGGCAGTGGTGCCAAGATTAAAGACAGATGTGGAGAGGGCTGGGAGGAGAAGTGTAACCTATGGCTGCCAGGCCTGGCGGACACCGAGGCAGGCTGATAATGCCACGTTCAGAAGTGACCCTATTCACCGCGCTCTCCCTGAAAGCGTGCCAGATGGAATGGTCTTGGCACAGACCACTCTCTCTTGAGAGATTTTGGCTCTTCCGCCTTTTCTTTAAGCATCAAAAATTCAAATTTCAAGGCCAAAACACCAGGGAAATTAGCTGGTCAGGAGGAATGAGCATTGAATTTCAGGCATCTGGAAACTTGGCTCGGAGCTGCAAATTTGCCAGATTTGTCACTAATTCTGACAAGTCCTGCAACCTTCCTGTTTTCTGCCTTGCCACGTACACGGAACGCTGATTTCAAGGGGGGGAGGGGGTTATACCATTTGGAGAAATAATGCATGGATACAAGCCTGCTCCAAGATCTAATTTTCCAGATATAAACTAACTGCATGTGTCAAGTTCCCAGGCTTTAAAGCTGAAAAAACTTTGAATTATTTCGAACTTGAGGGGTGCAGGATGCAGGGGTGGGGGGTTCGGTTTCAAACAAATGGTAAACTGTAAAGAGATAGTCAAAAAAGATAAATTCTTAAAAAGGAATTCTTAAGATGATAATGTAATCATTTGGATTTTTTTTTTTTTTAAGATGATGGGATACTATTGAACTTGCATGATTTAGGGTTTGGATGAAAAGGAACCTCCAAAATGAGGTTGTAGGTTTTGTTTTTCTGGGAAGTTTTAGGAGCAGCATGTCTGGTCCCGTATAAATTATAAATGAGCCCCTGAAGCTACCAGTGGAATAATACAGGTTGTTGCGGCCCAGTGTCTACCAGTATCTTTCAGCTCGCTGTTACCTTTGCCAGCTGCACCGGGGAGGGGTTGAGACCTAAGGGGCTCCCTCTGGCTGGGGATCACTCAATGTCAAGGAGGCTTTACCTGCTCCTGAGTCTCACCCCTAAGCCTGTCTCGATCACGTGATCCGATAACCTCTCCTGTAGTTTAACATGGAGGACTTGGAGGAGCACAGATCGTTGTAGAACTTGCATTTTGGGGATCTAGATGAAGTGACTTTGTAGGAGAGGACAGAGATGCGCGTGCTGCGCCCTTCAGGCACTGTGACCAACCGCTTTAAAAGCTGACTTCCGGTCGCTGTGGCGCGAACCTCTGATCAAGAGCAATTAAAGGAAGAAAGGGCTTTCTTTGGCTTATAGCTCCAGACAGATAAAGTCCATCCTGGCCACAAAAGCTAGGCCTGGTGGGGAATGCGTGGCAACAGGAGCCGCTGATCACATTTTACCTAAACAGAGGATGGACTAAATGAACGGGAAATAGGCTGGCCCCTAGTAATAGACTTTGCCAAGCAAGGCTTCACCCCTAAACCTTCTTCTATAGCATCCTCACACAGTGCCCCCAAATGGGACATTTCTTATTCAAATCTCCATACTATAACTTTATGCTGGGATGTCAAGCACTTCTGTGTTTTCCAGCTTTCCCTTTAGAATTTTGAGCATTTGACTAACGGCTGGAATAAAAAGCATGTAGCCTGATTTTTTTTTTAAATTCGAAATATAAAATCAAATTTAAAGTAACACTCTTTAGCTACTGTGTTAACTTTCTTTCACTATCACAAGATTCCTGAGTTGGTCACATTAGGAACAGAAAAGATGACTTTTGTCCCTGTTTTAGACATGCCATCTCATGAGAAGTTAGCCCTAGTGCTCTGGCCCTACGATTGTAGCAGTAGAAACATAAGGGAGGCAAAACTTTTCCAAAACTCATAATCAGGAAGAGAAAGAGAGTTAGGAGAGAGGGCCGGGTGGTGGTGGCGCACGCCTTTAATCCAAGCACTTGGGAGGCAGAGGCAGGCGGATCTCTGTGAGTTCGAGGCCAAGCCTGGTGTACAAGAGCTAGTTCCAGGACAGGAACCAAAAAAAAAAAAAAAAAAGAATTAGGAGAGGGGGCCCGAGAACCTCAGTTCCTTGTAAGGACACACCCCCTGATGGTCAAAACTCCTCCCAGGACGAACTCACCTGGTTTTGCCTTCCTGCATTGAGGCAGGACTCACAACCCTATTCCCTGGGCTTCCCTGGCACTAAAATAGAGGCCTGCACCTCCACTTCCAACTTAAACTTCACCTCTTAAAGGTCCACAAACATAAGAAATAAAGTGCCTTTGGCCTTTTCCTAAATATGGTATTGAGCTATGTCTGACATGGCTGGGGAGAGCGGATGGATTTCCCGGATGGTGGTCTAGAGTTAAAGAAGGGACTAAATTTTACAGATGCTAGCCCATCACTATCCTGGAGGTTAAATATGTAGTCATGAAAACTTTGTGATCGTACATTTTCCAAAGCGAATCCCTACCCTTCCTTGTCTAGGAAAGACACGGACCAATATGTAAAAAACTATTCAACAAAAAACGCAAACCCTTCAATTCCTTGAAGCAAAGATTACAGGGAACTGACATTCCCACTGTGATTAAGCCTCCTCAGTCCAAGGTATGCCAACAATTTCTTTACTTCTCAATATAGAAAGTACATTTAAGCTGGTTTCTTGGCTCTCTGATTTCATTTTTTGCTTGATAAGGCAGTGTAATGGAATTTAAATATAATCCACCTTTACTGTTTTCTGTATAATCTTACTTAGATTTCCAAATAAATTTTAGATACTTTCCAGATGTAGTTGAAAGAATCCTGTTTACATTTTCATCAGAGTGCCTGCAAGTCTAGAAAGTGGCCTGGGAAGAAAGTTACCTTTCCCCCCTCTGAGATAAGGTTTCACTGAACAGCTAAGGTTGGGCGTGAACCGACTATGTAGCCCAACTAGCTTTAGGTTCATGATCCTGCAGCCTCAGTTTCCCTAGATCTGTGATTGCGGGTGTGCAGCCATACCAGTAAGAAAGTTACAGTTAAAATCAGTAAGTACCTGCCACCAAGCCTGGACACTGGAGCTCAGTCCCCAGGGAACCACAGGGTAGAAGAACCGACTCCCAACAGCTATCCTCTGATACGCCTCCATGCATATACACATCCACACGCAAAAATAGATCAATAAAAATGTGATTGCCAAACAAAAACTTAAGAAAGTCACCTTCAGTCTTGCATCTGTCTTTCTCTAAAGTTCTCTGGCTTTGTTGTTTCTCTGATTTTTATTTTGTGGGTTTTTTTTTTTTTTTTTTTTTTTTTGGTCACTGGCTATGACTGTGAACGATACTAATGTAGCTTGTGGACTTTTAAAACTAGCTCTTTTGGGGAAAACTTTTCCCATATTACACGATCTCATTTGTTATAAATCAAAACCTAGTGGTTTTTTTTTTTTTTTTTTTTTTTTTTTTTTTTTTTTTTTTTTTTTTTTTTTTTTTTTTTTTTAAATCTGTCAGTTGCTATGTAGCCAAGGGTAGTAGATGCTGGTTTGATTTTGTTTCTTACAGGTTCAACCGGTGAGGAAATCTAACTGGAGACAACAGCATGAGGACTTCATCAATGCGATTCGGTCAGCAAAAGAATGCGCTCTAGCCATAAAAGAGGGCAGGCCCCTTCCCCCTCCACCCCCTCCGACCATCAACCCAGGTCTGTAAATATTTGGCTTGCTTTTGGGGCCACGGTTGACTTTTACCCATATTAAAACGCCAACTATATAAGTAAATATATGCAGCACACATTATTAGCCCTTTCTTCCAGTTCACAGAGCTTGCATGTTCCCTCCGGTCTGCCCCCACCACGAGACGTCGTCACACCCGGTAGCGTCAGTACCTACCTAAGGGGCACAGCATTTGCGCCGTGGCTGAGGAGCAGGAAGCTGTACACAGTACTACACTAGTTCCGCAGTGTCAGCAACGTACAGCTCCGTGTTTGCGAGTCATCGACTGACAAAGCTAACTGTCTGAAGTCACGTGATTTAAGTGGCTTCACAGCTTTCTTTATTCCGAACTCTGTATTTTGAAAAGTTTCAAATCTATAAGAAAGAGGAAAGAATAGGACAATAATCATTTCCATGTCTTCTGAAGTCCAAGGATTGGGGACTATACTGCCTCTCTGTCTTTCTCTATGTCTCTGTTTCTGTCTCTGTCCTCCGTCTGTCTGTCTCCTCTCTGTCTCTCTGTCACTCCCTTTCTCTCTCTGTCTGTGTGTGTGTGTGTGAATGTGTGTGTGTTATTGGGTCATGTAACACACACACACACACACACACACACACACGAAGATCAGAGGACAACTTTTAGGAGTTCTTTCTTTCTACTGTGTGGGCCTGGAGATCAACCCGGGTTGCCAGACTTGGTGGCAGGCAGGGCCCTTTACCCACTGAACGATCTCAATGGCCCTGGAAGAAATCTCTAAAAGTGAAGCTGTAGACAGCGATACTTTATCCTTGACATTATCAGCAAATCGTCTCTTAAGCAAAACACAGGTTCCTGCTGTCCAAGTTATTTGAAGAATGTTTCTGGGGCTCTCACCACACACACACCCAGCCAGAATCCAGTCAAGGTTCCAACACTGCTTTCTGTTGTCTTTTCAGACAGTTTTCAGTGTTCTGTGACACCTTTGTCTGATGATTTTAGCTTTCAGAATGCTGCCTGTTGTGGTTTCGTTTGCCTGTTAAGTCATGTTGATGTTTAACTTGTCTCTGTTTCATCTTTCAACAAGCTGGAGGTTAGCACTAGAGACTCGGTTAAGTTCCTTCTAATCTCTGGTCAAATGTCTGATTAGCAAATAACATTTCTCCTGTTTTGTATTGCCTTTGGACTGTAGTGTATTTAGTTCAAGCACAAAATTTGAACATTTGAGCTGCTTTCTCTTTTGTGGTCTGTTTTTCATGTTATAGCCAAGAATATCACTGCTGAATATAATGCTAACACTTATACCCTGTTTGGGGTTAAGGGTCTCATGTAGCTCAGACTGGCCTCAGACTTGCTGTGTGGTTAAAGGTGACCCCGAGTTCCTGGTTCTCCTTCCTCTACCTCCATCCCATGTTCTGGGAGCACCATGCAAGGAAGATCCCTGTGTTTCTCATTCTAAAGTTCTAGGGTTTACTGGTAGGTGTTTGGTTTGTTTTGAGTTAGCATTAGTGTGCAATGCAATCTTACTCTTTTGTACATCAACAATCAATTTCCTTATCTCTCTTGGTTGAAAAAAAACATCCATGAGGGTGATAGCAAGTGAATATGGGAAACATACCTGACATACATCAGGGTTTTCAACCTGTGGGCTGCAACCCCTTTGGCAAACCTCTATCTCCAAAGACATTTACATTGTGATCCATAGCAGTAGCAAAATTACAGTTACGATGTAGGCACGAAAATAAATGTATAGTTAGGGATCATCACCACCATGAGACACTGTATTAAAGGGTCACAGCGCTAGGAAGGTTGAGAACCACAGACAGACATGATACAGTCCGTCAAAAATGTTATCATGAAACCCAACACTTAGTACAATGAACATACAACCAAAACAAATAAATAAATAAATAATTTAAAAGGCTATTCTTTCTCCTCTTGAACAGTTTTTGTTAATTTAATTAAAAGTTACTTAGGGCCCAGCAAAGTAGCTCAGTGTGTAAAGGTGCTTGCCATTAATCTCAATAATCTTCGTTCCATCCCTTGGACTCGACATGGTGAAAGGTGACTTTCACATGCTCCCTATACAGACACACACAAATAAGTAAATTTAATCTCAAAAAAAAAATGTTAAAGTCAAGTAACTGCACATTTGAACGTTTCATCTCTCTATTCTGTGCTACCCATCTGTATCTGTCCTCATGGCAGTACAGCTCTATTTTGGTTACCATAGTATTAAAATAATTTTTAAATAAAAAACTGTGAATGTCACAGATACAAAAAGCTTTTTTTCTTTTTCTTTTTTTTTTTTTTTTTTTTTTTTGGCTGTTTGGTCTCCTTTGACATTCCATATAAATTTTAGGATTTTTTTTTTCCTATTTCTACAAAAAGCATCACTTTAGAGGCTGGAGAGATGGCTCATCTGATAAGAGTGCTTATTGTTCTTCCAGAGGCCCCAGGTTCAATATCCAGCAGCTACATGGAGGCTCACAACTTTGTTACCTCCAGTTCCAGGAAGCTACAGAACCTCTTCAGGCATCTGCCCTCACGCGGTGCACGCGCAGACAAGCAGGCTGTCTTAGGACACTCCCGTTGTTGTGATAAGACAACAAGGCCAAGGCGGTTTAAAGAAGAAAGAGTTTATGGGTGCTTATGGTTTCAGAGAGATAGAGTCTGTGGCCTTCAAGACAGGGAGCAGGGGGGCAGCAGGGAGGCGGGCAGGGCGCTGAAACCGGCCTGGGAGCTTGTATCCTGACCCACAAGCACGAGGCAGAGAGAACTAACTGGGAATGACGTGGGCTTTTGAAACCTCAAAACCCACACCCAGAGACACACCTCCTTCTAAAAAGGCCCCACCTCCTCTGACAAGGTCACACATACTAACCCTTCCAAACAGTATCACCAGCAGGAAACCAAGCATTCAAATATCTGAACATATGGAGGCCATACTTATTCAAACCACCACACGAACACACACACACACACACACACACACACACACACACACGAAAAGCAAACAAACACGTTTTGAATGCCACTTTGAAATTCTAACGGGGATTTCACTGAACCCATAGATGACTTTGGGTAATATTGTCATTTTTAACAATATTGTTTTCCACTGCATGGGCACAAAAGTGGCTTTGTACTTACGGTTTTTTTCTATTTCTTTCACCAATGTTTTCTGCGCATAAGTCTTTTGCCTTCTCATTTAAATTTATTCATAAGTTTTTTATCCTTTTTGATTTTATGGAAAATGGAATTCTTAGCTTTATTTATTATTCATTGTTTGCATAGACAAAATGCAGCTTAGTTTTGGTAGGTATATCAACTACGTATCCTGTAACTGTTGAATTTATTCATTAGCTCTAACATTGCTTCTGTGGAATCATTAGCATTCTGCGTCCATGCCATCTGCAAGCAGATAATGCTACTCTCCCCTTATACTTGTATCTCTTTTATTTCCCTTTCATGCATACAGTCTGCCCAGCACTTCCAAAGCTAGTTAGATACCGGGGCAAAAGCGGCTGTTCTCACCTTGTCTCTATTGAGGCCAGCACTGTCGGTAGGGTTTTGGTAACCATGTAAAGCCAAAAATAATAGCATTCTGACATGCGAAGTGAAATGAATGAAACAAAGACACAACGTTGAATGAAAAAAATAAGAATATTTTTCAGGTTTTCATACAAGAATGGATGTGATAGCATGTGAAGATATATTGGAGGTTGCTATAGGAACCATTAAAAGTATTGTGGTATACCTAGTAAGATTTATATCAGGTACGAAATATGGGGGTGGGGGCAGAGAATATATGAGATAAACACACATAGCCAGATGCAGGTTGGAGCCGGGGATGGTGGCGCACGCCTTTAATCCCAGCACTCAGGAGGCAGAGGCAGGCGGATCTCTGTGAGTTCGAGACCAGCCTGGTCTACAGAGCTAGTGCCAGGATAGGCTCCAAAGCCACAGAGAAACCCTGTCTCGAAAAACCAAAACAACAACAAAAAAAAAAAGATGCAGGTTGGACAAATGCACATACATAGCCTACTACTCCAGATAAAGACAACGCTGCCAAGCTGGGTAATAAAGCAAGAGCCAACAGTATGCTCTTCAGAAGAAACACTTTCAAGACAAAATCTAAAAGCCTGGGGAAAGATTCAAGCAATAATCATAGAACCAGAGTATCTGCCAGCATCAGGCAAAGCAAACTTTAGGGCAAGTGTGAATAGAAACAATGACTCAAAAGTTAGTCATTAAGAAGACCTATATGCATTCACTTGGTACTTCTAAGAATGTAAGACAAGACTTGACTAAACCGGAAAGAGATAAATTCACAGTTCAGTTACATCCAGACATTTTGCCGTTCGTATCATAATAACTAATAGACTGAGCCACAGGAAAGTGAGTAGAGCTACAGAAAACGTGAGCAGCGGTATCAACCAGTCTGGCCTCACTGCCATCAAGAGCCGTCAGAGGACAGACAGGCAGAGCAGAATCCGCTACACAGGAACATTATATACGGGGCTGTAACGGCAGCTTCAGGACTCTTAATCGAAAACATACAGAATATATTCTCTGACCACAGTCAAATTAAATTAGAAATTAAGGAAAAAATTTATCTGGAAAATATCCAAGTATTTAGCAATAGTGAATGATTTCTAAACAGCCCTTGAATCTAAGAACAAATCTCATGTTGAATTAGAAAATACTTTAAGTGAATGATAATTGAAAGCATCAAAGTTATACAATCTTGGCCTATAAACTGATAAAGTTTAGCTTTAAAAGATAAAATACAAGCAAACTAACCCAAATTAAATAAAAGGAAAAAGATAATAAATGTAATTTATTATGGAAACAAAATATTTTAAAAGCATTTGGTCATCTTAAAAGAGCAAAACTGTTTGACAAAGTGTAACACCGTACATTTTAAAAACAAAACAGAAAATCTCTCAGCAACTGGAAAAGAAGAGGTAATTTCTCCCATAAAGGGAATCTTTGAAAAATGTCTATTTCTCATCA